CTGAAAGTATACAAAATTAATAATTCACGTATACTATGATGATAGCCAATAACATAAATTTACAACCTAATAGCATTCACCCGTGACTCCGGCCGCCCGCCGTAAGTAGTCTACACATAGACAGAATGACAGGCTGAAAGGACACAACCTTTCAGACTATTGTCTAAAGCTATGTTAAATATCTTCAAGATTTTTTCAGCCGTTTAGGCTACATCCTCGCAATTAAAATATTAACTAGCTGTGCCCACGCGGCTTAATACGTGTGAAAGTTTAAAAGAAATATTTTATTGTTTGCCGTTACCATAATAACCTTGTTTTCTGAATGTTGGCAACTTGTTGTTTATGGTCCCTTTCCCACATGAAGGTTTTTTCCAATTTATTTATCTAAAGCGTGTCGTAAGTGTAGGGCTTTTTATTAAAGAAAGAATTATTCAAAAATATGCTGTGATTGCTGACAGCCTACGTCACAAAGTAGTGTGTGTTTACGCTTTATTAAAAAAGTATAGAAAGTATAGAATGTATAGACATATAGATATAGATAGATAGGTAGATAAGTATAGAAGTATATATAAGAAAAATAATAAGTATAATATAGAAAATATAGAATTGATAAGGTGGGTTCGATGAAAGTGGCATAAAAGTAGGAAAATTTACTCTTACCAGTACTAAAAGCAGAAGACAGCTAGACTTGTTCAGACCCATTCTTGATACTTTCCAATGTTACTTCAGAGAATATTAGATTAGATCGTGAACTGCTTCAGGACGAAGAGGGTTTAAATATTATTTGAAAATAATAGCGCATTCACATTTCATTTATTATATTAGTGTAAGCATGTAGGGATGTGAAAATGTTTTACTCGTATAAATTAAGCCTGTTAAGTACATAGATAAAATTATATCTTACTTTAGGGAACACTATTTTTGACTAAGATCGGGTATAACCAAGGCTAGGTATTATTTTTTTTCTATGAATTATTTAGTATCTAAAGAAGTTTTTGGTAAATATCACAATTTTTACACAACCCTAGAGGATCCATAATAAGTCCATGAGCCGAGACAATATTTGCTCGCGTGGTAACGAAAATTATTGTCTTTATATTGAAAGAAAATCGTGAAGTCGATGTCTTGTTTTATTTCTCAAAAGATACAAGACTAACACGTTAACAGACTATCTTAAATAATTGATTCAATAAGTTCGTGACCTTATTGATTTACATTACTAACGGAAATACCACATAGATTTAGAGAAACCTCATAACTATATATCTTACTTAAAATAAAGATATGTTTATATGTATTATTAAGACTATTTGTATGTTGTCAATACGTATCCACAGAACAATTAAAGGTGTTTGTTAGAGTTTATAGCGTAAACTTCTGAACAGATCTCAATGAAATTTGGCATAAGATGTAGAGTACAGCCTGGAAGAACACATAGGCTATTTATTGTTGTTTTTTTTTATTTAAATTAAAAAACAGATTCAAATATTAATATTTTTATTTTCAAAGAGACATTTATACAACTCCACATTCTGGGGTTGGTATCGGAGAACACATGCCATTATTACAGTAGCGTTTCCACGGACCGCATGGTTTTAAAATGCCACCTGAAGGCTTGCAAATAACGCGAGTGGTACAATCATTGCAAAACATCTTAGGCCCAAGAGGGTCGCACGTAGTCCAAGATGGTAGAACATTAGCTTCCCGTTCCATTTCGCCGTTTTTTTCATTACGGGAGTATTGCGGACCCCATTGCGGTTTCTGAGGCCCAACTTGAGGCACTTGTGCCAAACTAGCAGCTGTTAAAACCACCTGAACGACAATTAAAAAGTTGTAGTACAACATCAACGATATAAATTTAACAAGGTTACATTTTACACAAACAGAAAACAAAAGATTATAAATAAATCAAATTGTATTTCTGCCCTTAAAAGTGAGAAACCAACACATTTCATGGAAGCAGGAAGGAAATAAATGAAGGAATTAAGCGCCAATAGCTTCATGGTTTGGGGTACGGACTACCGATCTTGCAGTCGAGGGTTCGAATTCCGCCATTCGACTATTGTCGTAAACCATATCCTAGCCTACAGCTTAGTTGGAATGGTTACAGAAAATATTACAAAATTAAAAAATCTACAAATCTTAAAAAAAAAAATCCTTTTGTCAAGTGATGACACTTACCAAGATGAAGAAAGTCAAAGCTTTGATATGAGCCATTGCACTTAATCGTTTTATTCCACACAATATAGAGTGCATCAAAGTGCATTACCTTTATATGTGAATTCTTATCACAATAACATGTCCCCTGCGTAGACTGCAAACAAGGAAATTTCTAATATAAGCCGAGAGTTTTCCAACGCGGAGTCAACAGTGGAATGTTTATTGCATAGACGACGTTCGTTCCATGCTCGGTCGATAAAGGGAGTTTTCTGTGTTTTCATTACCGAAACACCTGTATAGAAACAAATTGTCTTCTCTCTTATACTCCTTAGAACAATAGAGATAACATGTTTATGTGCATTCAGCAACGGAAACTCCCGTTTACATTCTGTTTTCACAGATTTCAAGATAATATTTACTTAAAGTTGTTTTCAATTCAATATGTGGGTATTTCCAAATGTCTTATAATCTATACGAAGAAATAAAGTAGAGAATTAGTTGCTTCCAAATATTTACATTTGCCATAAGATTACGTGAAAATAAGAAAAAGTTTGTAATTTTCTTTAATTAACGTAAAAAGTATTATTCTATACTAGCTTTCGCCCGCGGCTCGGTTCACGCGAGATTAAAAAAAAACCGAGTAGCCTATGTGTTCTTCCAGATTATCCTCTACATCTACGCCAAATTTCATCGAAATCCGTTCAGTAGTTTAGGCAACAAATTATAACAAACATCCACCCATCCATCCATTTAAACTTTCACATTTAAAATATTGGTTAGTATTAGTAAGATTAGTAATATTTTAAAATACACTATCATGTTTCTATAGTCTACATTCAATAGTTAATTACCGTTAATATGTCTTCGCTCCATATGAAATAATATTAATGACATATTTTCCCAAATAGCATAGATAGACAAAGCAAACAGTTACGACTTAGGAGCCTTTAATAGGGCAACAAATCTGCGGTTGCCTTGGTGATACGGATACAAAGTTAAGGATTTTTAAGAAGTTAAGGATACAAAGTTTGTTTTCACCCTTCTTAAAAAAAAAAACAACCTTTTGCATAGCATGTACAGTCGCCTAAATCCGCAGTGTTGCAGTTCAGGAAAATTGCCTTATTCATTGCAACGAGACAAACTCCGCCTCTTCCTACAAATACCTAATTATATAGCAATGAGTGTTGCAAACGAAGGGCTAATAATAAAACAAAAAAAAACTAGACGTGACTAAGCTACTTCTTTTCTTATTACATTTAAAAGTTCATTGTATTGATTTTTGCTCCGCATCTTACAAAATGGTCAAACGACACAATCATTTTTAGGTGGAATATTGCCAGTTTTCCTAAATGATATTGTAGACAGTGGTTACAAATACTTTGAATAATTAAAAAAAAATGCATTCATTTCCAAATTGCCAGCAAAAGACAGTAACAGCATAAGTAAATAAACAACAATTGAAATATTAATGTTACCTAAATTGTATCAAATAAGTATAAAAATGTTACTTTAAATGTAACGTTAATTAACGTTTGTAACTTTGTTCGCTTTGTGTTACATAATACGGTTGCTGCGGCTTTGTTCAGGTATAATACGAATTTCGTACGTAATGAACTTCTGAACAATCGTACATGTACAAAGTTAACTGTTTCATTTGTGTTATATTTTTCGCAACATTAAGCCGCATAGCAAATGCAATTTTCAGTTACTGATATATAGAAAAGCTTGATTGATTTTACGCTTATCTAATTTTAATTTGAAATTATATAAACGACTAGATGTTCCGGTGCGGTTCCATCCGCATGAAATCATGAAAATTTTATTTTATTGTATACATTTGTCAAATTATCAATAGCAAATGTCAAAATGACATGACATTGACAAACTTTGGCAATCTTGCTTCCTTGGTGTTGGCAACAACTAATGATCTCTTTCTCGCATTGGGCTTTTTATACAAAATATTTACCCACTAAGTTTAATGGCGTGAAAATATATAGCCTAAAGCGTGACGTAAGTGTACGGATTTTTATTAAATAAATATTTATTCAAAAATATGCTGTAATTGCTGACATCTTAGGCAACAAAGAAGTGTGTGTTTACGCTTTATTATAATGGTTTAGATTGGGGGATCGAGTTTAAATTTTTATTTTGTAACAAGTAATATACGAGTATAGTCGATTATCATTCTCGTCGTCTGCATTAATTGTGCTATAATGTTGTGGTGCTTTAGTATTATTTTGATTTATAAACTGCTACCAAACTATAACAAGGTAAATTATTATTCTGTTATTAATTTAATAATGATATAATTAAAGACTTCTTAACCTTAATCTGACGAAAAGTGTTACGTGGCGCTCTGTTATATATTGTAATTAATTTCAAAGTTAAACTTAATTATTTTAACGTCTATTGAGGTCGATTTCGTTAAAATTGGCAGGCTTTGTTGGCTCGAGATATTTATAGTCGAGGCCCGTACGTACGCCTTCTAAATTATGGTAATTATTCGAAATGGTTATAAATTGCAAGACCGTTTAGTTACCTTGCATACCGTTATAGCAGATATTTTGTAGTAAAGAATATCTAAACTGTAAAAAATGCCGGTTTTTAGACATTTTCTTGTTTTCCTGCTATCTTTAATTGCTAATCCGAATTTTATCGACAAAAGTACCAGAGTTCCTTTTCATAGATAAGGTCCTTTAATATTACCAGGTAAAATCAATAAACATCAAAACAAAACATTGCTTCTTACACAACTTTATTAATAAAGACGAAATATAGGTACATTTGAGTATATTAAATACAATTACAATTAACGGATATACAAACAAACAAAACACGCTCGGTCCAAAAACGAGTGAAGGTTATTTACACAGATTGTTCCGCGCCTTTCGCTTGTTCTTCAGGGGTGCAATCTTCAGACGGAGTTGCAGAACATTCGCCTAAGTTGCAATAAGGTAAGGTAGGGTCGCTGCAGGGACGTTGTATACCACCGATCTTGGTGCACACCATCTTAGTGTTGCAGTCCAGGCATGTGCTGCCTATGGTAGTGCAAGGCGCCCATTGCGGGTACCAAGGCGCGGCGGACACCCATGGTGGTATCCATGGGTTGACACCACCACCGCCCCATGCCCAGCCATTGCCTGGCTGAGCTGGTAAGGCTGATGTTAAAGCAACCTGGGAATTAAGACATTGAGAATTATTACAATAAAAATATATATAGTAAGATAATAATTATTAGTTACAGATAATTGAATTTAAAGTTATGTAAGAATTGATTTTCGTTCGATTTAATTAAATTAATTCAGAGATTCTAAGGGCCTGTCCCACCACTGGCTGATAGAGGGTCAGATAGCTTAAAGATGACGTCACTGTCAGACGAGTTAACAAAATCACATATTTTACACGTTGGATTGTTAATAGACAATTTACAAATTGGTGGGACAGGCCCTAAGTTATGTAAAAATCTTAACATTAATATTGTTATCAGTAAGCTTACGTTTAAAGCTCAACGATGTTTTAATAAAACTTGTTTTTGATTCAAAATTTTACTTACCACTAAAACAAAACACAATGCAACTTTCACAGCCATGTTTGAATTTTTATTCGAAGTATTGAACTATCGAGTTTCAAATAGCGATTATTAGTTCAATGTTAGCTTGGGAATCTTATATACAAGTGTTTGTTGTCTTACGGCTTATTGTTAACAACCCAATTAGATACCGCTGATATGGATTTCCCAATGGAAATTTATTCAAAACAGATAACAATTAGTAAGCTGCTGGAATAGAATAAACAAGTTAATAAAATAATATTTGCATAGACAACAATAATCACTAAAAATAACATGGCAACAAGTATACACACGGGAATATTTTGCACTCCGTATTAAATATTCGAGCAAAACAACAAACATTTTGAAGCAAAATAGTTTATCAGTGTACTACATAGTCCCATTACTTAATGGATTGATAAGTCATTTTTTTTAAAACATTATAAAAATAACAATAAATTTTGTTATGAACGAAACCAAAAATATAGTATTAATAACTTATTTAATACATATTACTCAAAGAACAGTGTACAAAAATCTGTTATTATTAAATGGTCGTTCTCGTCTCAACAAAACATATGAGGTTTTAAGCTTTACCCAGGTATGCCTGTCGTATTTAAATAGCAAAATTACTAAGTAGCATATGCGCTATGAAAGAAATAAAAGGGCTTTACTTATTTCATACAAATAAAACATCAACAAACATAACAAAAAATGAACAGTTTTAAATTAATTTTGTGTACATTTGTATTTCAATTTTATTTTGCTGACCTACTTATACAGTCCTAACTTGACGTATTATTATGTTCCTTACAATGAAATGAAAATTTTGCCCAGTTAATAACTAATTCGTTTCTTCCTGGCTTTCAAAATCAAATCAAATCAAAAGCTTGTTAATATACAGAAATGTTTTATTTTAATAATTCATTCATAATTTTGATATAATAAAGTATTTACGACTTCGACCTGCATGCGAGCCTCAATGATAATTCATAGTTAAATATATTGTAAGTTGTTTACAGTTGTAATCGTGTGTAAACTCGTCATGCAGTGAGACATGTTTGCTGCGTCGCGTGTGTTTTCCTTGATTCATGCTTATATTTTCCTTTAATTGTAAACACTATGATCGAATGGTTAAATATTACTTGAAGAATGATATAATTACCTGGGTTACTGTGAAGACTTCTCGTATAAAAATATATTTAAGTAAAAGAAAAAGTTTTTTTTTTATTTTTTTATCTAGCTCCATATAATACATTATTTTTTAGTTTTTAGTTTATGTAGTTTTGTCTTAGACTTACATATTCTTTGTTAGAAAAATCTTCAAGAATTTACTACACTGGGATATTGAGGATCTCGAAATGGTTTTCAATTTGGACGTTTTCCGAAAGAATACGAAAGCAAACAATGCCTTAAAAGCAATACGATCCTTTGTCAAATATTATTTTTGGGCTCATTTTTGTAATGTAAATAATATTTGGATTGATTTATGAGTACTTTTAAGAGTTTACGCGTTTTATATGATAACATTAGTACACAGATAAATCTGTTGCTACTTTAATTACAATCTAATGGCTGATACTTTTTTTTCCAAAATTTACTTACCTTTATTAAATTTACTTACCATTTTATTGGCAATTGCTACTTTTTTTCTATTATATGCTGGCAAACGAGCAAGCGGCCACCCGAATCTATCGAAATAGAAAGCGACCGCTGCCCATAAACATCCGCAGTTGCAGATGCGTTGCCTGCCCTTAATTGACGGAGGATGAGACGCACATAAAGAGGACATTTCCCCTTTCTATGCGTCTCCTCCACCGTCAAATCCATTTTTGTGCTTCCCATCCTTTCCTCTTAAGAAAAGGGTGGAAAGGGAACTAAAATTAGGCCTCCGGCACCAAACTCATCAGATGAAACGCGGAATTGTTTTATTATCTTACTAAGATTATGGACGTTGGTTAGATTTTGTAGTCTAAATTGCTGAACGGATCTCGATGAAATTTCGCATAGCTTTAGAGGATAGTCTGGAAGAACACATACTTACTTTTTTTAATAACATGCGGGCGGAGTCGCGGGCGACAGCTAGTATGGTATATTACAGATTATGCTAAGTTTATCATTAACTTTGCTTACTACTATTAGACAAGAATTTAAACTTTATATTGATAAAACATACAAAATAGGTTGATTTACTAGTATATAATAATGTAATTAATAGCGGTTTTGAAATCATACTTTTTAGTGGTAATTAATTTTTACGACTCATTTATGCAATCAACAGGAAATTATTATTTATACATGTAATAGTTTTATCAAAGAAATGTGTAAATATGTCAACTGAATTTTATATGAGACTTACGCAGACGTGTTTATATGCTTAAAGATGTACATCCCAGAGCAGGATGACGACACTTAAATTCTAAAGCTTTATTGTTATACGATTAGCTGGTACTCGTTTGTGCTGTAACGGAATGACCAATAGTTATCTTGTCCTATGAGGCAATTACGGGCTAACACGCGCTGAAGTTGGTAAAAAATATACCTAAGGTTGCTAAAAAGTACACCTTTGGGGAGCGGTCGTTTCGCCATTTCGGCGGATTCAGGTGGCCGCTTGCTCGTTTGCCACCTTATAGTATAAAAAAAAACTTACAATGTTCTTCAACACATATGTGAAAATCAGCTTTGTGAAAAAAAAGTTAACATAGGTGTATGTATGTTTTATCAACTTCTGCGCGTGTTAGCCCGTAGCTGCCCCATTAGGCAGGATAACTAATGCTCATTTGGTTACAGCACAAACGAGTACTATGTTATGGTATAATAATAAAGCTTTAGAATTTAAGTGTCGTCATCCAGCTCTGGGATTTACATTTATTACGTCACTTGTTTGGAGCAAACGGTTTCTGTATATTAAAAAACAAAGATGGTGGCCGTTTTAAATTAGTTATATCGAATGAAAGGAATTAATCCTACCTTGAGGAGTCAACCTTCATTTACATATAAGTATACGCTATAATAAACCTCAAGTAATATGCAAAAGTAAGTGAGAAATGGGGATTTCTATAATTTCTTTATTGAATACATGATAAGGTAACGATGTAAGTACTGTCACCGATAAAGAAAACATTACAAATTCCCATTACTAACACGTACTTTCATTCTGATTTCTCAAAGAAGTTGAAGAAATAAATATAACTAATATTTAATTTGCAATATTTCATTTTTATCTTGTTAAAGACCGGTATAGGCTTTGCGTAGGTGAAATAGTATCAAGTGATTTTTATTGATTTAAATTCGAAAAACTTTAAAATAAATTTAAGAACTATTAAACTTATATTTTGAAACAGAAAATTTGTCTTCGCATATAGATTTAAGAGACTTTTACATGTGTATTATAGCTACCAATAAAATCGGTATGCTTACTTTTGCTCAAGTGCGAAGCTTACTTACTTACATTTTTTTATCTAATCTTTGCATAAAACTTCAGTAGATTTAGGCTATCGGATATCTTCTGTTTGACCAGATGACATAAACTGCGCAATGAAAGTATGCAAACGATGAATTTGTACATTTGGTATCATGAGATCACGCGTGCTTCTTATCTCAGATAATTAATTGGAAAAAGTCATTTTATAGCGTCAAAACGTGGATAGGCTACTAAACGGTTTATCATTGCTTTTTTCCATACTTCGTATCAAGTATTACATGAACAAAAGTTATGTACCTGTCTGAAATGTTACCAGTAATCAACGAATTTACACAAAAATGCCAGAAATATTGTAATAGTTTGTTTAACAAATGAATTAAAATAAATCTCATATTAGTTTTGTGCTTATTTATTTTCTATAGTTCCTTTTTGTTCTTTAAAAAAAGTAGGTGCGCAATTAATCATTTGTAAGAAATAATTAGTAAACTAACAATTCTATGAACAGATATATCCAAATGTCTTGGTTTAAAGCTTAAAGATAACTATGAATATTTTTTAATTGTCAGTATAATTTGATTAGTTAATTACAGAGGGCTTAATACTTCCGTTGAATGCATTACTGGCGGTAAACATCCGGCGGTTTTATAATACTTTGTTAACATTTGTTCGACTCTAGAAATCTTGTATCTTGTATTGCGACAATAAATTAGTTGTTTGTTCTGACTCAGTGTTCGCGAAAACATGTTGTTTAACTAAGAGATGGTAATTATCTACAAGCCATTATCTCGTCTTATCAACGTTAATTGTTGAGGTAACTATAAAAGGAGATGTTGTAGAAATTTAAGGTTATAAGTAACGAACGAGTCACAGTAACAAGTGCGTTTAAATGTTGTGATTTTTTTACTAACGAACGATTTACGATATTTAGCCTAAGATGAAGTTATCTATTATATTGCTTATTGTGAGTATATAGATGTTTTTTATTATTTTTTTCCGGTATATATTTTTTTTTAATTTACATTTTATTATTAATTTATTAATGTGGTACGCAGAGGAAATTTTAATATATTGTCACTGTCAGCTTGATTCTAAGTACACCAAAACGTCTAAATTTTAGAATATCTTCTTTTTCACCCATTTTTATAAATTTTAAATACAAATAAATTGATTTATTCATCATTAGGCTTATATCTTATATTCATTTTTGTTTCTAAAAAATTCAATGTTATCTATAAAGTTTATTTCATGTGTGCATTTGCGAATGAAATATAAAATAGTTAATTCAGTCAATTACAATTAGTCGTATTTTTGACCTAAACACTTTTGTGGTCATAAGAATATACTTGAACAAAACTTTAATTTTTTTCAGGTTGGCCTTTGTGTGGTGAGTGCGAAATACTTACCAGAAGAATGGGGTAATGCAGATCAATATTTAAGTCGCTTTAAGAGATTCGATTTAGGAGATTCTGATACATCATCCGAAGATGACGATAAATTCAACTCAAAAGATGATGACAGCGAGAACTCAACCGATGAAACTGATGTAAGGGAACAATCTAAACGTATTACCAATCTAGAAAGGATGCGACAAAAACTATTGGAAAAGCAAGAAAAAGAGAGACTAAAGCAAGAAGAAGCTCAGCGTAAAATTGAAGAGAGAATAGCAAAAGAATTGCAGAAAGAGGAAGAGAAGCGTCAAAAAGAACAACGTAAATGGGAAGAGAAACTTGAGAAAGAACGGAAAAAACTAGAAGAGGAACAAAGAAAAATTCAAGAAAAAATAGTTGAAAATGAACGCAAACGACAAGAAACGATCAAAAAAGAGATGGAGGAACTGGAAAAAAATGAACAAGAAAAGCAAGAAAGGGACAGCAGTTCATCAAATAATGATGATTCAGACAATGATTCAATAGAATTAGAAGATATTTGGAAAATCCATATCTATTCCAAATACGGTATAACCGAAGAAAACACGAATGTTGAAAAGAAGACGGCATTAAGAAAGTACATGCAAGAAGAACTGGGCCTTAATGCTAATAGTACCCAAAGCGAACGCCGTCAAGCGGTACTTCGATTTATACAATCTGAGTTGCAGAAAGTACCAAATATTAACATCCTGAGAAGTCAGTTCATTGACTACATTAATTACGTGGGTGTGCAAAAAATTAAAACAAAATTGGAAGGAGACATAGAAAAATTAAAGAATAAAACGGAAACTCTCGACAATGTTAATTTCACTTGGGTGCCGATTGCTAAACAAAATCTCGCAGAGCAGGTCTCATTTTTAGAGACCCTCAAACAGTTTTTGTCTAGTTTGTTACCAAACTGGTTTAATGGAAACACAGATAAACAACAACAGGGTGTGCCGGTTACTAACGCACACTCTATAATATCCCCAGAGTCTGGTATTGTAAACCAACAAACGAATGATGCTAATCCAACTAATACCATAAATACCAATAGCAATTTGAGGCCAAGTAACGCTGGAGATAATGTGAGCCCAAGTAACGCGGGAGATAATGTGAGCCCAAGTAACGCGGGAGATAATGTCAGCTCAAGTAACGCGGGCGATAATGTGAGCCCAAGTAACGCTGGAGGTAATGCACTAAGTAAGTCTCCAGTTTCTGAAAATAACGGTGCCTCAGTTTCAACTAGTTCATCTGTTGTATCGGAATCATCTGTAATCGACTTAGAAAAACCTAAATCATCATTTGTTGATGAAGCAAATCCTATAAATCAATTGGATACTGTCGATAAAACCAATTTTCAGCAACCGTCAGCCGTAGAAACAAATGAGGCTACAATTACCCTAAAGGAAGATACGATAAATAAACAGTTACCATCAGAAATAGATACTGATACTGTAGGAGTTACTAAGAACTCTATAAATGAATTGAATGGAGACACAACAGTGGTTCCAAAATCAGATACAGGCATAACGAATGAATCTGCGCAGACTGGTATTACTACTAACTCCGATGTACGAGGCGTAGGTCTTAACGAGAAGCCCTCGATAGAAACAGATAGCGTAAATAATGTGAATAACGGTGCAATTGCTGAAAACACTCCAACTGAATTACAAGCTAACCCCTCCGTAGCTATTGCATCAGTCGATGATACTACAAACCAAAACATAGCTGACAAAGTAAATAAAAATGTTGATTCTTTAAATAAAAACATAAATAGCGCAACGGAATATTCAAACAATGCAGTTGCTGGCGCCGCGGTGGCAGTGACAATAACAGATGGTGTGATTACATCTTCTTCAGCTTCTGGTTCTGATCTTAGTGAAGCATCTTCATCGATATCTAACAATAATGAGAACACAGGTACTAGTCCTAGCATTTCGAATGAACCAAACTTAGTTAACATAGATGCATCGACAGTGGGTTCTAAAAATTTAATTACTGATACTATTTCGGAATCAAGTCCAGCAGTTGATAATAGTGCTGCAGCTTCAGATTTAACTGGTTCTGTTATTACAGAAGCGTCTCTAACGTCAGTAGGTAGTGATTATATTGCACCATCAGGCAATACACTAGACGAATCAAGCAGTACTTCTGAAGATTCTAAGAATGTTAACAAGGACGCCACGCAAAATATACCAACTAACAGCAGTACGAATATTTCCAAAAATGAAGCAGGCGAAAATCCTTTAACATCAAATGGAATCCAGTCTCAAGTGATTACAGAAGCCATTGAAGTAAAAACTCCAGCTACTATTGTCAATGAATCTTCCAATGTAGTTCAGGAACAATCAAGTCCTGAAAGTAGTAACACCGAACAACAGTTAATAAATGAAATTACGACTGTTGTTACGGAACAAGGTTTGACAGCCGAAACGAGATTGCAAGATGTATCTCAAGCAAGTGGTTTGAATACTGACTCAGTAACGCAAGAAACGCCAGTTAGTCCCCCAGTTCCTGTTGAGCCCGGTGCAGCAATTGTAGATGTAGCACAACAGTAATATAATTTTCAATCAATCTTTTGTAAAATTATAACTTGTTTAGTTTCTAAATTACTATAATTAACCAACTTACATCCTAAGTGATTGTTGTAAAAAATGTTAAAATAATGCTTATTCTTGTCATTAAAATTATTGAATAAAAATCAATGTAGATATTACACTTTTTGTTTTTTGATCATTTCGGTTTCAGAGTGACACATTCAATGTGTAAAGTAAAGACAAAGAAATTATTAATTAATTAATCCCATATTTTTTAAAGTCCCTTTTAAGTACAAGACCTTTTTAATTTAAGTTTGTGTAAAATATTCACCCTGATATTGGAAAAAGAAGTTGTAGTTCATACATAATTTTCTAAGTAGAAAGAACAAAACAACCATAAAATCGTAATTTTAATTTTATTATTGACTTTAAAATACAACTATTTTTTACAATTTGGTTTATCAAAGGTATACTTATTGGAATGCTTAATAGAGGTATTTTTAAATTGCTATTTATATACTTACAATTTAATTTACTAATTTCATCTAAATTACATAGCCTTTTTAAATACTTAAACAAAGCCATCATTTTGTGTCAAATCCAGTATTTGTTAGTTGCGTGAGGAGGATTGGGGTAACTGTGCTGGTTAAGAGGATCCGCCATGTTGGGGAATGAATATGGATCATTCATATACTTGTATTCACTGGATATACCTCCTAGGCTCATATTCAAAGAACTATGAGATGGACTCCAATTGGTAGACGACGTAGGGTCTATTGGTACTTTAGAATAATCCGTAGGAACTTTGGGGTATTCAGTGCTTGGTAACTCCTTGTTGTAATCACTTGGTGCAGCTTTAACAAAAGGTTCGTCTCGTGGTTCTATGACCTCGTCTGCAATTTTATCTTCTCCTTCATTTTCTTTGGGTAGATAGTTTATAGTTTTGTTGTAAACTTCGTTGCTAGCGTATCGTGGATAATCGTTCCTTGGGATGTTTGGATCTAATATTTGACTATGAGATGGTCCGTTACTACCAGTGACGAGATGACCGAAAGTGGCACCCGATGTACTCGGGAAAGCAGCACTTTGGAATGCTTGGTTTAAATGTTGGGATTGAGCCATTAAATGGTTATAGTTGGCATATTTCTGGTGATGCCAGCTGTCACTATGCTGAGGATGATGTTGTGCCAGACTGGGTATTTCTCCCGCCGGATAGGGGCAGGGTATTTGTGGCATAGGTATTGTAGAGTAAGTAGCAAGCGTCTGAGCAGTATTCGAACCGGTGTGTTTACGAAGCCGCGCCCGACGGTTGGAGAACCAAACCTGAAATTAGAAATAATACCTTAAGTACATAGCAATCTTGTCAGAAAAGGAAATTTTTATATTAATAGATCAAATAAAGTTACAGATAAGAAAGATTTCTTTGTGTAACAATGATTACAGGTACATACATTTATCATTAAAATTAATAAGTTTTAAGTCAATATTTAAATAAATATTATGTCTCTAAACAAATCTCTTTTGTTTTTTAATGCTGACTGAAACTATCACTAATCCCTCCAATAACGGAACTGTACCTGAATTCTGGCTTCCGTAAGTCCAGTCTGCAATGCCAATTCTTCTCTTGTGTACACGTCAGGGTATTGTGTCCTATGAAATGCTCTTTCTAGAGCGTCCAGCTGCTCCCCGGTGAAGGTGGTGCGAGATCGGCGTTGCTTCCTCTTCAGCGTCAATCCCGGTTCTGATTCAATGTCAGAGGAATCTGAACCTCTACCTGTAAGTATTTAAATGTTTACAAAATTATAAATTACATTGTACCTCCTCTTCTTTCATTATCAAGTATGAAGATCAGTATACTTAAGTTTTTTTATAATGATACAAAAGAATAATTAGCGATAAGAAATTGTAGGCTTAATTTACAAGATATTATACAATAATCATAATAAGGGTTCGAAATTTCCTTGACGCCGCACTGAACCAATTTGTCTTTCTGCTCTTTTTTTGGAACACGCGTTATTTATTAACGTTGCGTTTTTTGTTAAACCCACATCACGTTTTAATTCGCCTACATCGAGATCCGTCGGGATCGCGGCTCGAGCGATTTATAAATCGGTAGCGGTATCCTACGGAAACAGATTTAAAAAATGCCCTCAACAATGCACCGCATCGCCCTTAAACTGTTTAAAAAATTCGGCTTATATTAATAGCCTTTTGAAAGAAGTCAAAATTGAATGAAATGAAAAAATTGGGGCTCAGCTTGGCTCTGTTCGGTGGTATAGGGAACACCCAGCGCGGCGGTCTCTTTGTCGGCGTCTTTGCTGTCCCGGTGACATTTTGGCACCATTCAATATTTTGGTGTCGCGATCTGGATTTATGACACGCAAAAAGGAAAAGCTCACGGCATTTAATATGTTGGATCGCTTTGGAGCTTAATTTGCATCACGTCGTAACTGTGGCACCGGTCTTAGTGAGTTTAGACGTTAAGTTATTATTATTTCTTCTTTGAATTATTATTATTAGCACAAATCTGTTGTATGTCAGTTTAGTGTGATTGAATGTTAACTTCGATTGGTTTGATTTAAATTCTACAGGTATATTAGTGTGACATTGAGGGTAAAAATAAATACATTTCTTTAAAGTTATATTTAAGAAATATAACTAAGACATTAAGTTGAAAAAGAACACGACATAAACCACAAAGGTTGCGAATACAATGAAAAAACGAAGTGTTATAATAAAATGATTTACATTGCTCAAATTCTACGGCCCGCTCGTAAGACAGCGACAAAATTATTTTGTCTTTTTGTACCGGCTCTGATCATAACGTATGGGGCTAAATAACTCTCAGTACCTATAATATCGTACTTAACTATTCGAAACCTTACTGCATTGATTTTACGGGCTATTTTAATTTTATTTCTTTTAAAATCGAAATAAAACTAAAGCTGTAAATGATTTTATGTGGAAAGAAATGCGAGAGCTTTATGGTCGGAATGCGAGTGGGAGAGGGTGGGAGGATCTTTGGCGATTGCCGAAATGTGACCCCGTGATGTCGGCGTTGGAAAGCAATAATTCGAGAGTTGAAAGAGCGGCGGCGGCAGCGGTTTAACACCTTCATAATCTGGCTTCATTAAAGCGGTCGGGCGGGCCTTTGTTTCAGCGGTTTGTTGCGATGCTAACAGATGGCCGGATTAGCACGTCTTGTAGGGGCGTGGGTCGTGCCGACGTTCCTCGTTTTTCATTGCCATTTTGAATACTTTCTTAATACTTATCCTTAAATTATTTTACTAAGCTGCCGCATAAAGTTTCAATGATTTCGTATGGATTTGCAACTTCAATTTTGTTTGAAATGTAGAATGTGTGTTTTTAGTTAAATTATGGCAAAAGGCTCATCTACTGTAAACTAATCAGTTTGTTTATTACTGAATTGGTACATTTAGATTTTTTTAAAATTAATTTAATTGTCTTCTAACCGAATGAATTAAATGACTACGTTCCAATTGTCACCATCAGAGATTACCATACAACAAACAACCCGGATTTAAAATTTCAAATACAAATTATTTTCCCCTGCCGCGAAGTAACTTTTACTACATTGAAACCTACCACGACTGTGACTAATACGTAGAAAACAAATAGCTTGTTTTTTGTAAACCGCGTTATACAAAAGCGAAGTGTTAGCGGTTACAACGCGGTGGTTCTTTGATAGTCCATCTGTCTACATTAGTTGAATCTAACGAGCGATGTTATTAAACAAATGCGAGATTTTATCGCCTACCTCTTTTTGTATTGTTCTGATGCGATGTGAAAGTGGATCACAAGCAATCGTAATAGCTCTTAGGCGACACCTATGTATATGCGTTAGTAATTTGCACTTGCATTACTCGGATGAAGTAATTTTCTAGAAAATAAATATAAAAACAATGGAATGCCATTCGTTACGTCCTTGTTTTGATTTTTGTTTCTTTTAATACAAATATGCAATGATTATAATAGCTTTCGATTTTACGTAATCTTACTAATGTAAATGCGAAAGTTGGGATGGACGTACGGATGTTTATTACTACATATCTAGTAACGGACATTCATAAATTTGTCCAGATGTAGAACATAGTATGGAAGAACATACTTATTTTTACTAAATTTACTTTTTAACTACGCACAGGTGAAATCACGAGAAAACGTTAGTTATAAAATAAAAGAGGACTCTGTTCATATCTATTATGCTAAGATAGAGATTTCGGATTTTTATGTTATCATCTATTAATCAGTTCAGGAAAACAATATTACAATTTCGTCGTATTGATTGAGCTTTAATAGGACTACGTTCTACTATTTTAGCACCGTCTTAGTAATTTTTTGGTACTTTTAATGGGTTAAACAGCAAAAAGGCCGTTTTTTTCTTTATAATAAGATTTTTCTGCATTACAACAAAGAAACAATAAATTCAAGGTATGACTACAGAATAGTCATACCACTTGTTAACTTTAATGTCGGATGTGTCGGCGACACAAACAGATATTCATAGTCAACGAACAATCGACTTGGCGACAAAATATAGAGTACACTATAATAGAACAACCAAAAACATGTCACTTTGTTGGTGTTTCAGCACTGCGAGGTATCACGGCGGGCGACCGCGGCGCACTCTGTCGGCTACCTTTAGAAAACGATCCGCAAACGCGAGCCGATCTTTAACGCCTCAGGAACGTACTATATTTCAAATGGCAACAATGACTTGGTAAGATTTGTGTGCGGAAATTGATTTTTTTTTCAAAAAGCGCTCGTGAGAATGCTTTGCAGGTTGCCGCGTTGCGAAATAAGGGTTCCGTGATTCGGGAAGTTATTGTGCAATTTGTACGGACAGGTTCGGTCGGGTTGTTTGAGTTCTTTAAGTCACCTACACTTTGAATGTTTCTAACGAACGTAACAAGAATCGACATTATCACTTACTCATTTTAGATTTGAAAAAGAATCCTATGTAAGTTATGTGATATCACTATATAATCAATAACTCACCT